TTTATTTTTTTAAAATATTTAACCAAACAAAATTTTTTTTTGATAAAAAAATTACATAATAAATATATAAAATATAGAGTGAGTGGAAGGAAAAAAAAAAAAAGAGTTGAATTTTATTTTAGATAGCAATTGTTTGGAGTTGGTGTGCATGTGGTTTAAACCTGTGCAGAGGTGTGGCAAAACCAATGCACTACCATTTGAGCTGCAAAGAACTCAAGATTAATTTTGATTATATTTTAATATATTTTAAACGTTTTCTGAAGGGGAGAGATATGCATAGTGAAAGCGCTTTTTGTAATAGCGTTTTTTTCAAATGCACAGTGAAAACGCTTTTTGTAATAGCGTTTTCTTAATTAAAAGCGTTTTTTTTAATAGCGCTTTCACTATTCATCAAATTTTCTGCTTCAAACAGTGAAAGCGCGATTTGTAATAACGCTATAGCCTAGTTTGGGAAAACCGTCTAAATTAGGCCTAGTTTGAGAATTAAGATAGAAATTTGGCTTAATATGGGAAAAGCCCCCCTTAGTTGCCTTTTATCAATAAATGTATGTTTCATATTATGTGGGTGTTTTGGGAAGTGAATTTTTAAAAAAAAAATTTAGTTGTAGGATATTATTAGAGAAATTTTTTTTTGTGTTTGGAAAGATAGTTGAGTTTTTTTTTTGTGGTTGAATGTGATGTTTGTAAGAGAAAAAGTGAAATGATTATGGGGTTTAATGTGATTTTTCGTTTGGATTTGTTTTTTTTTTGGTTTTGTGACCAATTCATCTTTTAATGAAAAAAAATCAAAAAACTAACTTCCCAAACACCAGTGTTGGTCACTTTAATTATATTAAATGAAAAAATAATATAATTATGTCAAAATTATAAAATTTATTGTATTTTTTTTGTAAAAGAGACGTGAATGTAATTTACTCAAAAAATAAATAAAAATGATAACTTACAATGACCTCCTTGAGGTTTGAGAAAATTATACTAAATAAAATATAATTCTATCAAAATTATGAATTTAATTAAAATCTCTTTGAGTCTCTGATAAAGTTATTGCAACTTACCCATAAAAACCAAAAAAAAAGGGATGGTAGTTTAAAATTTTCCTTAAAATTATTGAAGCAACGAGATCAAACTTATGCTTGAATCAGGATTCCAGTTTAAAATTCCAAAGGTAGAGAGGTTCATCATCAATATATGTGTCTGCAATTATTGTTTGCTTTGCTTAGAAGTAAACAACATGCCAACCCTGCAGCCACATCTTATCAGAATAGTATCTTTGGCCCAACCCTAGAAGAATGTCATTCTAATCCATTTATGTTGAATCTGAATTCTCTGTAATGCATTCCTTATAATGCTTTTAGTAGTCTTCCAAAATCAAAACGACATCGTTTTAAAAAACATAAACCAACCTTCCCATGCCATTATTTTGTCAAGAAGATCAGCAGTATTAGTATGTTGTTTCTACAAATTTAGAGATTTTTATGATATTCCTATTCCAAATGCCTAATGCACTCGAGAATGGTTCATGTTTAATTTTGGCCCTGCTAAGTTCACTTTCTAGCAAGCTAAAACATCATAATCTAAAAAGCAGAAGTTGCAAGTATCCACTCCCAAACTTCTCCCAATAATCAACCTGTTCAGGGTATTTAGGTCATTTTGCCTCATAAATTAACTTCGGATTTGTGCTTTCTAAGCTAAAACTTCATAATCTAAACGATAAACATCTTTTTCTGGGTATTTAAGTCTTTTCCCCTGATAAATTACCTGTAAGCAGAAATTAGATGAAATTACCCTTGAACCAATTGACACAAACAGCCAAACAACAATCTAGTTGCAAGCAGTGTTTTGTATGGAGATGCTTTAAATAGTTATGTATGCCATTTTTCGAAGAATAAACTGTCTCAATGGACAGAATTAACGGTATATCATCATCTTGCCCACTCGTTTGTATGCGGTATACACATCAAAATAAAAAGGGCAAGACTTTGTTGTAGCAACCTCAGCGAATCATCCAGACAAAAAATAATAATAGGAAATGAAAAAAGATGGAACCGAATCGGAAAATCCTGCTCTACATCTGTTTAAATTCTACTATCTAATCTACGCCTGAAAATGTACAGCAACGCTTGGTTAATGATCGGGAACGTCCCCTTGAAACCCAACACCAAAGAACACCCCATCACAACAGCCCCTTCCTCTACTATTTTGGCTCTTCTCTCTTCCCTCTATCCAAAACGCTTCCAATTTTAAGCTTCAGAGAGCAATCTCATTGTCTAGTGGGAAGATAATGATGAAGAAGACCAAAATGAGAAGAGGTGCTGCAAATAAAAGGGGGTTCTATATATCAAGATGGGTATGGATATCATCCATCTGCGGAGGAGATAGGGGTGGCATTGCATGAGAAACATTGGTTTCTGCAATTTCCAAAACCCTCCTTGCAGTTGCTTGAGATTCTCTGTCGATGCCGATCTTTCTTGAAGAAATTCCCCGAGAGTCAATGGCAGCTCTAGAGGTGTTGCTACTCTCAACGGATGATAAAAACTTATCCTTCGAGAGAGTTTCCTGCGCTGCTGTGATTACGGAGCTGAGAACGCCGGATTCTCTCAACCCTTGAACAATGACCTATAAATTCAGAGAAAAAAATGGAGAAGTATTAAGGATTTTGATCTCATTTGAATGTGTGTTGAGCATAACCAGATACTAGTTCACATCTCAAATATAAACTGGAAAAGATGAAAACACTTCAATTAAGAAATTTGAATACTTGAACTTACCATGGGAGCATAAATGCGGGTCAAGATGCCCTTCTTTATAAGTTTCATATTTAGCACTTTGTCAGTCCACACAATATGTTCACGGTACCTAAAACAAGAGAAGAAAAACATATGAGTAAACGAATATAACATCTGAAACCAATGTAATTCATGAAACACTTGAAATCAAGAGTGGCAATAGGCCACAGAAATGGAGGAAGTGTTTTCTGTTGCATACTAGGAGAGGACAGAATGGCCATTATCAAACACTACTTTGGTACTCAACTAGGAAGGTGGGACAGTTGATTTGGTAAAATAAGGCCTTAAATATGAAACTGCCTACATTTTTGTAAGCTTTTCATGTTCTGCTCTTTAATGGCTTCAAAAGTAGCCTATCAACAAGATTATATATTACATAAGAGATGCAATGTGATATTGGTTATATAAAATATAGCACTCAAACATCACATGGAAATTAACTTATTCTACACTATCATACACAAGATTCTAAAATAAATTCACTTTCTAGCTTTAGAGTTGGTTAAGTATTCTCCAGATGGAGCATCTTTCTAATGGTTTCACAATGACACCACTCTAAGCACAAACACTTCTAAGAAGGTGGCATGTCCGCGTTGAACACATGCCGGACACCGACACTCACAAGACACTTCCCAACATGTGTCCAATACACCTCCATACGTGTCCTATTATTATTTCCATTTTTTAATTTTTTTAGATCTAGACGCGCTTTGAATACTTGGGGAACACACATATCCATTGCTCAAACATCTATTAAATATAGTATGTGCTTAAACAAAATAACTTAGGATACAATGATAGAAGGAAAATAATGTAGCTTTACACCTATTAATCTCTCCTCCTCAACTATAGGAATTAGTGGCATGATGAATGCTTTTTCAATTAAATTTTATACATAAGACAAAATTATAATACATATTATTATAAGTAACATAGACTATTAGATATAATATAAGTGCTAATGAATATTAGCTACAAAGCAGGGAACCACGAAAGCATCCTTTGCACAGAATTAAAATTTAACTAGTAACATAATACAAGGAGGCCTCCTGCTCCTACACATAAAGGTTTGGAGGATTCAAATTTCTAGGCCTCTAATCCTCTCAGTTTAATGTTTTGGAAGTTGATAAATCAGTGTTCATCATACAATCAAAGTGAAAAGCTATAGGTTCAGATCTACATGGAAGAACATGTACAGAAATCAACAGTTGTATCTACAGTGCAAACATTACCAGTGAAGCATCTCCTCTTCTGTTGCAGTTGAAGCAATTATAAATGCCTGCAATGTAGAATCTTAGTAAGGTATGTATAAAAATATATAAGCATCTGCATTAGAAAAAATATAAACACAATCCAAAATAAAGAAAACTCGGGTAAAATTTCAATGGAGGAATACTAGAAGTGTTGCGCATCGTGACTTCACATATCATAAATAGTACTAAAATGTGCTCCAACAATATCCTAAAAACAAAAAAGTTTACTGAGAGGCTTCAGTTAAGCCAACCAGAATTCAATTGGGACCTGCCCCCAACTCTGTTTCTTTCTGCAGGACGTTTTGCATAAACCAAAACCAGCCAAAAAACTCCAATTAAAAATTGTCGAACTAATTTTGTACGTGCACACACATACAAAAAAACATGCATATATCTAGAATTTTACAGGAGCAGAAGACAATGTGACCCATCAGGGCTGGCTCCAGATGCGAAAAAATAATCAGAATAAATTTAAAAAAAGAATTGGAACTCACAGCTCTGTCAAATTCTAACATGAAACATCTTTTGACATCCTCCTTCGTTGGCTTACAGCCACAACGATCACGTCTTGAAGTCAAATCAGAAAATTTGGGATATGTATAATGCAAAACGGCAGCCTCATCCAATTTGATCTCACTACAAAGATCACAGACGACAACACTTACAGCACTGATATAGAAGCGCATATATAACACATTTAATGAATAAGATACACATATGTATGTACATTTAAGTATTAAATAGCTTTTGCTTGCACCTTTGTCTTTTTTTGGAATTTGTATCTACATTTGAAAACACAGACATTCGCTTTTTAAATTATTTTTAAAAAAAAAAAGAAAGAAAGAAAAGGAGACAGACTTGTCTACATGCACGTGTAATTAATTTTAAATTCTGAAGAATAACGTACTTTGGTGTCTTCATATAATTGTGCCATCTATGTGCTCCATTAGGACGAAGATGATCTTCAATGCGGGCAGCTGATTTCCCATTTCCATAAGTCAAAAAGTAATTGGGATTACTACGGGTTGCTTCTTTATAATTGCCAAAGTATGTGTCTTTAGGAAGATGGTCATAATTCTTCTTGAACATTGACACCTACAGAAACATAAGCAACAAATTAATTAGTAACATAACCATTAAAATGTGTTCTCAGTTTTTACTAGGAAAAAAATAACCAAAAAATAGATTAATAGAAAAGAAAAGGAAAATAAATTATGGCAATATGTCCCATCAATTAGTACAAAGAAACATAGATTAATAGAATATAAATAGAAAATAATGATATTTGGGCCCCTCTCTCTCTCTCTCCCTTTTTTCTTTTTATTTTTTGGGACCAGCAAAAAGAAGTCATAATGTTAATAAGAAAAGGCAAGGAAGTACAAGAAGAGGACAAGTACTCCTCTCAAAAAGAAAAAGAAAAATACAAGATAACAAAGCAAGAAAAAATCCAAAAACTACATGTCACACACAACCCTCCGATCTCTAGAAATAACGGAGAGTGGGATTCCTTTGAACGGAGAAAAAACCAAAGCCCAGAAGGATATATTATTAATTACTAATAGAATTAAAAAAAATAAAATAAGAAAGTACAATTCCATATCTGTCTTTAGGTCCATGAGTCCAGATTCGCCAAGAGGTCACCACCTCACAATGCAGAGCTGGCTTCTTCACAAGCCTCGGGTGCCATGGTGTCAACCTTGTGGGGTGATACGTGGGCCAATCATGTAATACTAGCTCCTCCCTTGGGAGTCAAGACATGCTAGCCAGATGCTCGCGTATCAGTTATCACCCTGGCTCAGTCAGGCACACTGCCAAGCATATGCCCTTATTACCTGCTTGAGATCAACAGAGAGCTTGGCTTGAAAACTAGAGTCCAAGGGGGGCATGCCGACCAGTGTTAGAGAGAGGGGCGTTGACCCCATGATATGGTCTTTGAGGTGTCAATAGACATGTGACACAAAAAACACTCAAGAAGGCGGAGCCGCAAACCCTCATTAATTCCTTAAAATTGCACAACACTTCATGATAATGAGTAATTCTAAATCTGTGTGTTTCTTTTCTTTTAGTTCCTCAAAATGACTGTATATCATAACAATCACAATTATTGCCAGTCACAAGACCACGTAATTGTGTATACAACACTCAACTTTTATCTAAATCTCAAGATATAATATGATCAATCTTGCACCCCATTAGGTTGGAATTATCACATCTACGTGATGTCATCCCACGACCTATGTTTTCAAAGAGCAAGCTTAACACATAAATACTATAACCAGACACAAGACTCCCAGCCCGAAATGAAGAAGGTTATCCATGTATGCTTGTCTTATGTGAACTTGCAAAATGAAAAAGAATCTTTATGGAAAATTTCAAAATAAGAGTAGCTACTTCAAAACCACAACCAAGTAGCTGTTGGCAAAATTTTGTTATTTTGCAGCTCACATATAATAAGTTCATCAACCAAACACAACCTACATAAGTTGGACACTGCTCACAACCCAGGTGGGCAAACAGCCTAACATCATTTTAGTGGAAAAAATGGTCACTATCCCAATATAGATGCACTTCAAAAACACTAAAAGCAATAAAAGTTAGCTAAAAGCCTAAAAGCAATATAAATACATCTTACCTCACTAAAAGGTTCCTTTATATCATCTCGCTCAACACTACTCTCCTGAAACAAATCAAAAAAAAAATGCAATTATCATTTTTGATACCACGCACCAAGGTACTTTGATATTTCCATATGGGTGAGATGGTAGAATGGAAAGAGGCTACGGAGAAAAAAAAATGATGAACTACCATCTATTAACAGTAGTATAAATTCATAGTATTAAGTACTAAATAATTATTTAAAAGAAAACCAATTCACTCACATAATTTGGGAAGATAACCATATCAACATTCCCAGGCACCTCTGCCAGCAGCTGTCTCACAGAGTACTCACGGGCACCCGCTGGATGAAGTAACTCGTCAGTGTCAAGATGGATAATCCAATCCACGCCAGCTTCCTAAAAATAAATGGAGAATGTAAAGACCAATCTTAAGAATTATTGAAAAAGAATATCTAACTGGTAAAAAAGAAAAAAGAAAGAAAGCTGTACCAAAATTCATAAATGAAAAGATAAGATCATACCCTTGCCATGATGATAGCCATTTCCATATTGAGGGATTGCTTGACAAATAACTCATAGTTGCAAGGTTTGTAGAAAAAGCTCGCCAACCAAGTCTCATTCCAGATCCGGCTAAATAGCACAAATAATAAAGAACAATGAAATTGAAGACTAACTTGTAGATTAATAGAAATTTCCAATGCAGTTCGGATTTAACAACAAAACTAAAAAATATATATATTTTTTCCCATTCAAGCACAAAAGAAAAGGCTTTACTAGAGCAATAAAGCAAACAGACAGCCTATTTACCTATTAATAGAAAAGCTAACTAATCATTTAGGAAATGAAAAATATTCAATATAAGGAGGACATACCTCCATAAGAATTCTTCAAGAAAGGTTATAGCTCTAGAACTAATGATAATGTTGTATCAACATGAGTTCATTCTACTGGCTTATAATCTCTCCAATTAATTAATGCAAATGAAATATGAAAACCTATGAGGGTACAAACCAATCGATCTCTTCAAATTGCATAACAAAATTTCTTTTCGTACGTTAGCGAGGCTACATACAGTACCAAAATGAGTAATTGCGAAACCTTAAAATAAGTGCCTCAACCTAGCTGCAACATTACCAGTGATCTATCAGTTTTGTGGCTCAGGGATAGACTAAAAAGAAAAGATCTCAGTTGATAATGGGTGATGGTTCAAAAATATGGGATCAAGGGATTAGAGATTTTTCTATTGCTTGGCAAAAAATAAACAAATAAAATTCTTCAATCTCCAATTGTCCTCAAATATTACGTTAAGAAATGAACCCACCAATGTATATCAAGCAATCTAACAGAAATTATATGAAAAACTTAAATTGAAAATTTAGCATAACATATGTGACATTCCACGTGGCAAAGGGAACCGACCTTCTAGCTTGTTGCTCCTCTAATTCCTTTGTTCTGTATATGACTTTTACTCCCTGTCAAAGAAATTAAGAGAGTTTAGAAATTTGGAAGATCTAAAGCAGAAAATCAAAACAACTGAGGATAGCCAGTACATAGATGTAAAGAAGCAAAGATTTAGACTCACTGAAATGGATTCTAGGACTTTTGATACGTCAGGGGTTGCAGCTTTTCCTTCAACAAACAGGAGAAAGGTTGAAACCCCAATAACCTTATGATAGAAGATCCATGGTAGAGTCTGCTCTAAGCCAGCAGAAGTGCTTGTAGTAATACATAACTGCAATAAAATAAGTACAGAAAAAATCATAAATTGCAATGATGACATTATCATAAATAATAACACGAGTGCAAGAGCCTGACTGAATATCAAAAGCAATTATGATATTGATTTTTTCATATGTACCTAAATATCTTTATACACCTTTAAAGCCTTAAAGAGAGGAAACAGAAATCAATATACTCATCGTAGCCGAAAAAGTTCAGAGTTACGAGGAAGGAAGTGAAAATTATAGTGGACAAGAACTTTTTTGGGTCACTATTATCATGACACATTGGCTGATATTAGGCTTTTGTTCATTTAGGTAACTTTTTAGTTTGTGTTTCTAAAATTTTTCACGTATTTTCAAATTCTTTTTGTCACTATTGAAATGTTTCCGAAAAGTTCATGTTACATGATAGCACAACACACCGAAAAGAAATTGTGATCCTTGTGTTTAATGATGAATCATAAAATTCACGTTTTATCAATCTGGCATCTAAGCACGTTACAGTGACTGCACCTTTTTTTTTGGCAATGAAATGGGTTCTAGTTATATAAAATTTTCAATTTGCATTTCCTGAAGTTCAATCAAAGACTTTTCTTTCTGCTCTAAATCCACAAATTTTCTGACCTTCATCAGTTTTGGTAAGGTCAATGAATTGACTGACTTTCTGTTTTTGTTTTGTTTCCAATCCAAGATTGCTAGCAACATTTACCAATTTATCTATGTTCAAAACTACCTTCCATGAAAAAACGTATAACCTTAAGATTTGCAAGCTACAGCAAAAAAGCATAAACATATAAATTAAACAAGATGAAGACATAAAACCCTTATTTTGGAGAGGTCAACAATGTAGCTAACTTGATTTGTCAAACAGGTGGAACTCAAAGGCCTAACAAAATCATTGATGATTCTCAATTGATGCACCAAACAGAAGTCCGCCAACCCCAACATTCTCAGATATAACAAAAAATTTCTTGCGTGAAACAATCCAAAACCAAATGTGATTTCATGATCTTTCCAGATTTTACTACATCTTGGCCCAACAACAATGCACATACATATACCTAAATACACATATAAAATGATAATCAACACAACCCAGATTCCAGATCCACAAAACAAGACAAACCCACCAAGGATCAGCTCAAGAAAACCAAATAAAATCAATCAAATTTCAACTCACCTTCGGACCCAGATCAGACCCATGATTGAATTTCCAATCCCTATAGTATGGGAACGAAGGTAAACGACTTCGACCCAGAAGATCCACACAATCCGAGGACGAGGACGACGCAGACAACCCGTGGTCGGGTCCGGACCCACTCATACCCGGAAACTCTCTCCGTTCGGGGGACCAGCGGGTCGTCGGGTCTTCCAAACCGCCACGCCATTGGAGAACGAATGCGAAGGCAGCGAGAGAAAGGGGAATCACTGTGAGGACGAAAACGAGCCTCGAAGTGAAGCTCTGTGATGAAGATGATGAAGCAGAAGAAGTGGGTCTGAGAGATGAGTATAGACCCGCCATTGGAAATCACAGAAAATGGGAAGATCGATTCATATATATATAGATATAGATATAGGTTTCTAGAGAGAGAGAGAGAAAGAGAGAGAGGCAAAGACAAGAGAGAGAACTTGAAACTGAAGTTGGGGAGTTGTTATTGCCGTCTTTTAAATTTCATTTTTTTTTTTGGTTTCTTGTTTTTATTTTAACTGTTTTTATTTTATTTTATTTTAAGGATGATTTATTATGAAATTATTTTGCAATCAGTTGTATTGCAATTAATTCATAATATATTGTATTACTTTGGTTTGGGAAAAATTAATTTAGTCTCACTAAATTAATTCTGTTTGAGAAGAATATTGAACTTTTTTTTTAATTTGGATGTGATAACTATGAAAAAATAAATAAAATAATTATGATTTGAGTGTGATATTTTATACTAAATTAGTCTATTTTATCTTTTTATTTTTATTTAGTTACTTTAACTTTTGCTAAATGAGACTAATAAATCTTATTATTTTGACATTTGATTCGTTAAATTTTAATTATTATATTTAAGATATTTGACAAACATTTTTATTCTTATAAATAATTTTTGAACATTTAGGTCTCGTTTAGGAACAGGCTAATTTAGTAACTTTTTGGTTACTTGACTAAAATATGAACTAAAAAAAATTAGTATGTTTGGGATGACTTTTTGACTTTTTACGAAAAGATGTGTAAAAAGTAGAGAAAAAAGAAAATCTTTAACAGTGTGAATGTGATTAGACTGTCAATTTATTATTAAAAGTATTTTAATAACTATGACATGGGTAAAATTTATTGAAATATAAGAACAATAATTTGAACCATGTTAAATGAAAGAAATATATGAATAAGTACTCAATTTTTAAATTACTTTTGAGAATTACTTTTCAAGCTTTATCTTTGATGAGTTGGCACAGCCAATTAGGTTTCAACATAGAACCAGCACCTGATTGGTACAAAAACGGTGTGCAAAAAAAAAAAAACTGTCATCAGATCGATTTAAAGCTATTAAAATTATTATACACGACTTGAGGACGTGTGTGGACTTAAGTTAGACCGTAAGAATTAACGAACGCATACCTCCGTTTGGATATTATTTTTTAATTTAAAAGTTAAAAAATTATTTAAAAAAATTAAAAAGTTAACAATTTATATTAAAAAGTCAAAAAAAAAATTTATTCTTTATTTTTTATACATTTTCTTTTGTAAAAAATTAAAAAATCATCCAAAATATATAATTTTTTTATGTTATATTTTAGTTAAAAAATTACTAAAAAAACATATTCTCAATCAAGACCTAAAGATTGAAACTATCATTTATAATATTTTGAAATTTGGAAACGATATTTTTGAGGCCAAAAGGTATTATATGATATTCGTAATGGGCAAATAGTACTGTGAAAACAGTCTTGTAACGATCTTTTTCGAAGATTTAAACTTGTCAAAAGTCAAATTTCATATCAAATTTTGAAAAGATTGAGTTAGACCATAAGAATTAACGAGTTAGTTGGTTTAACATTTTGTTAATTGATCTCCAGATCATTTCAACTTTCAACTTGCCTAATGTGTATAGGCAAGGCATTGCATACTTTTTAAAATTATAATTTTATTATTTTACAGAATATAATATTTGACCAACATCATGTATTAGATTAATTTGTGAATTTTAACATTATTTTTCATTTTAAATTTGATAGTTTAAAATTATCAAATATTTAGTCAATCTATCAATTTTGAAAATAGATGGATAGATTGGTGACAAGTTGAATTAATCTATCAAAAGTGATTGAGTTTATAACTTTTTGTCAAAATCAACCCACGCCCACCTCTCTTTTACTATGAACTATCCTCCAATTAAGGAGTCAAAATGTATATTTAAGTTTTTACCTTTTTATCTTTTATTTATATATATAAATTATGTTTGAGTTAATGTGTAACATATATAGATAGTCTTGATAAGTTAAAAAATTTAAAATAAAACAAAATCAAATGATAGTCTTGATTTATCCACATCTTTCTTTGTGATATACATGAAAGGTTATTAGGAATATTCCATAAATATATGGTAGTTTCATGTCAATTTTAAAAAGACAAGAGGATAAAAATCATTCAAAATAAAATATTAAAAAAAAAATTAATTGAAATTTGGTTTCTCAAAACTTTCTTTGGCAATTGCATTTAAGCCCACCTTTTCGTTTTTTTACTTTCTTTATGAGATTAACTTTCTTTTATTTTTTTAAAATTTAATCAATTTATAATTTTTTAAAAAGCATTAGAAAAGTAAATAAAAGGACTTATAATTGAAAGTTAACAAAAGATTATAAAAATAAAATTAAAATTATTGCCAAATAAATAAAAAGAAAGTGAAAGAAAAAAAAAGAAGCTAAAATAAAATAAAAAACTATTGCCAAACGATAGAAAATCAAAAAAAGCATCATAACGTCCAAAATGTCCAACCCACTTTTATTACTTTACATTCATACATTTGATGTTGGAATTTTTGCTGTATTCAACATATTAATGCTAGCCAATAGGTGTTTTAAAATTTTTTAAAGTAAAAAAAATCAACTAATTTAGTTCGTTTATTTATTTTATTTTTTTGAGAGAGTTTCCTGTTTGGTTGAGTTTTCAAAATTATTTTCTATTTTTCGTCAAAATAACTAAAACTTACTTTGGTAAAATTATGAAAAAATAAAAACAGTAACCGTTTTCAAAGTATTTTCTCCTTTTTGAACATTTTTTTTTTGAATTTGGGAAAATATGTTTTTTGGTTTTTATTTTCATTAAATTAGTTTTTTTTAAAAAAATTATAAATGAATTCTAAAAACTCAGCCAAACACCATGCTTGGCTTAAATTTCATAATCAATTTTTAAATTTTTTTTTTGAAAAATGGAAATTTGTTTTACGAAAACAAAAAATCAAAAGGAAAATTTTAAAATTATTTTTCCACCAAAGAATGTAAAATCATATGAAAAATAGTAAGTATTTTTTTATTTATTATTTGTTTTATTAAATTAATTTTAATTTTTTTTATAAAAAAAATTAATAAATAAATTTTTAAAACCAAACTAAACAGAGCATTGATGAAGCAAAACTCTTGTTAAAAAGTCAATTTTGTTAATATATAAGATAGACATAAATATAGAGTTAGCAACAAGCAACCCTTTTGTGGGTTACATTACATTACACAAGTTGGTATGGTGGGTGATCCTACTACATTTGAACCAAACAAAACCTTTAGTAATGCCATAGTGGGACACAAAACAAAATGACCACTGGCTAATTTACAGTGTGATGATAAACAAAAACAAAGAGGTCAACAATCACTTATAATGAAAATGAGGTCAATTCCCATGTATTATAGTGAAATATTGCAAACTACAGTTTCTCAACAAATAGATGCCTTTTATTGTGGTATTGGTTCATATTTGGTTTAGATTTTTTTATTTTTAAAATATATATTTTGAGACATTTTAGTTTTTGACATTTTTAATTGTATTAAATTCATCTCTAAAACATTAAATGTGTGCTAAAGTGATCGCTATAGCTAACACATTCAAGATTCATTAAAATTTTAAGAACTCATATTTGTTATCAATGCATTTACTATTTTGTTTCGTGTTATGTATATTCACAAAACAAACCACATTTGTAGATATAAGCATTGTTAACCAATGCTCTTAGAATACTCGTTAACCAATTACTTTAAAAAATAATGAGATTCACCATGTGACATGAAAAATAGTTTAAAAATAATATAATTTTTGGTAAAATATTCTAGTGACAAGCCTTTAAGAAGAAACACTGTTACACTTTATTATAAATCCAACTAAGACCAAGGGAAGTATAGTTAAGAACACAATATGATTACACCAATTAAGAACACAAAAACTTTAATATAATAATGATACCATATCACATATTATCATTATCCAATAACAAAATATTAAATGGGCTGAATGAACCCTATTATGCAAATGTGGTTCACATGTGTTGATTATTTTTAATAGTACAACATTAAGTAATTTACACAACAAAATGTGTTGTGAGTCTAACCAGATGCTTAAAAGTGATATGAAGAAGCTTGGCTGCTGAAACAATTTGGATGCAAATATGAGCAAAGAATACATTGGTATAATAGCTATTTGAAGCATCTTCAAGTTCAATATCTGTAATCATTTCCTTAGTAGCTTTAATACATCTCCAACCAAATGCATTGAACCAGTTACAAGAACCTGTAAATCCACAATAAGCATAATGCCCCAGTTAGTGCATAATCAATGCCTTAACCATCTGTTTGATTAGAAAGAAAGAGTAGTACAAAGTGAAAGTGAAAGAAAATATATGTTCTTGCAAGTATTTGATTAGGATGAATTTTGCAACAAAGAGTTTGTAAGTGAAACCCCTACATGGATAAATTTAAATTTTTCTTGTGTTTTTTTGCAAGAAAATAAAATTTTAGTTACCATGCTAATACGAGTTGTATAATAAAAGTAATTTTGTTGTTGTTTCCACCAGTTTCTGCTAAACAAATTTAGATTTTTTTCCCCTTTCACTCACTTTCCAGCCCTTTCGTCCTAATCAAAATCAGAAGGACCTGATTTTTTCATTAAAAAGAAGGAATCAAGAAAAGCAATAAAATTGATCATAATACATATACGTATACCATGACCACGGTATGTATTATTATTATTATTATCATAATTAAACTAATCCATGACATCATTTGCGAGGCGAAGAAGATACAGTATGTTGGTGTTTTTTCATAATAATACTAGAAAAAATATGTAAAATAAAATTAAATAGAAATGACAAAACAAATTTGTTTTCTTTTAATTAAAGAATGAAATACAGAATAAACTATAAAACTAAAAATATAGAAATAAACTAGATTACATCATGGAACATATTGCAAGACGGATTCACATGGACATGTAAAATAATATACAATAAAAAAGTTTAAATTTTAAACTTTGAAGAACGAAAGATAAGAGATGCAAACTGAAACTTGTGTGATACCATAATTTCCTTAAAACAGATTTACCGCCTCTCGATGGGTGCTAGAAGTATGCCGGCATTTGTCTCCTAATATACGACGATCGAAATCAGTTCATGCAGAAGCACCTTCTGAATAGCTTCAGTGAACTTGACAATGGCAATACTCTCTCTCTAACGAGAACCAAAGAAAGGGCTAGCACAAAGAAGATAGAAAAAATTTTCTTTGGTATAAAAACCATCTCCAACTTTTTAATCTCAAAACACCATCTCATTTTCCATCACAAAACCTCTCTAAAAACAACCTAGTAAGTTGGAGGAGAAATGTCTTTATTTATACTAGTAAGGGAGAGCCTTAGTCATGAAGGATAACATCAATGGGGTCATCAAATTTCATTAACCAAGGCCATCAACTCTAACTATTAGGACTAGAATTACAAAGGTTGAAAACTTATGGGCACTAACATGGTTATCAACTCCATCATCAAAAGAAGAGAGTTACAAAGGTTGAAAGCCTTCCTCGCATTATATATAAAAATAAATATATATATATATATATATATATATATAATGTTACAATAAAAAAGTTTAAATTTTAAACTTTGAAGAACGAAAGATAAGAGATGCAAACTGAAACTTGTGTGATACCATAATTTCCTTAAAACAGATTTACCGCCTCTCGATGGGTGCTAGAAGTACGCCGGCATTTGTCTCCTAATATACGACGATCGAAATCAGTTAATGCAGAAGCACCTTCTGAATAGCTTCAGTGAACTTGACAATGGCAATACTCTCTCTCTAATAAGAACCAAAGAAAGGGCTAGCACGAAGAAGAAAGAAAAAATTTTCTTTGGTATAAAAACCATCTCCAACTTTTTAATCTCAAAACACCATCTTATTTTCCATCACAAAACCTCTCTAAAAACAACCTAGTAAGTTGGAGGAGAAATATCTTTATTTATACTAGTAGGGGAGAGCCTTAGTCATGAAGGATAACATCAATGGGGTCATCAAATGTCATTAACCAAGGCCATCAACTCTAACCATTAGGACTAGAGTTACAAAGCTTGAAAACTTATGGGCACTAATATGGTTATCAACTCCATCGTCAAAAGAAGAGAATTACAATGGTTGAAAGCCTTCCTTGCATTATATATAAAAATAAATAAATATATATATATATATATATATAATGCTATTTAAATAATCTAACTAAATAGGTCGCCAAACGGATATGAGTGTTGAGTCACAACCTGATCCAAGCCCGATCTCATACACAAGCTAAGCCCAACACAGCCCAGTCCAAACTCAAGATTAAGTCCAAGTCCAAGTCCAAGACCAAACCCAGCACATGCACAAGCAGAAGCCTAGGACTAGTCCAAAATAAGACTAAGTCCAAATTTAAGTCCAACTTTTATTGATGCTCACTTTATGAGACAATTCTCATTCACAATCTAATGGTTTCGGCTCATTATTTTTATATTGTAATCTTCTCACCTAAAAGAATACAACCCCACTCAGACCCACCTCAACTGGCGATTGGGTCCCACTTTAATTTCGAATTAAAGTTGCCGGAAACCATATTTTCCAACACATGATACACCTGCAAACAAATTATTCTTGAAAACCAAGCTCAAGCGAAGAATATAGGACGGTTATCTTTCTTTCATCGAGGCTTTAGTAACATTCAACTTCAACAAAATGAGCCATTTAGAGATTCTTGAAATCACTTCCTATTATGACTTTCCAACTTCAAGTTTAGTTTTTACATTTGCTCAAAGGTTTCATACTTGTATAAAATAAATAAATAAAAATTCTAATTTTCTGGTTAATTTTTTATTTCCTCAATAATTTGGTTTCTCGTTGTATATTTCAGAATCAAATATGGAAGATATGTAATTTAATCCCAATTCTAAGCTTCATGCGTAAAAAAAATGAGTCGTTTAACTTTCCTACTTGCATAACTATATCAGTAAAAACAAGGCCACAAAAACATCTGAGAAGTATTCTTACCTGAATCCTAAGGGAAGGGTTTTCTCTAACACAATCCCGTAACCAATTTATTGTCAATGGTAATGAAGGAATCACCGCACTGCAAGCAAAATATTTATCCACAGGATTGCAATGAGAAGGATCCTTGTAGAGGAACTCGTGGGGTGGCAAGGTTTGGGGGCCTTCCATCTTGGGACTCTTGTCAACCACAACATCTGCTTAGGCATGGGACAAAAAAATCAGAGCATGTTGGACAACTTGATATTCAAAAGTTTGAGGACTAGCAACCTTATTTAGTGTATGTCTAAGTAGAGCTGAAGCACCGAGTATATTTGATAATAAATTCCAAATATCATGGTTTTTGGTCACCGTTCTTTCTACAGTGAACTATACCAGAAGCCCTTAAATTTTATACATTTTTTAATTTAGCTCCTAAAAATAAGCCCTCTAACTTTCCAAATTGGTTCAATTTAACGCTCTCATTACAACATGTCAACTTTTGGCAATTCAATATACGATATAGGACCAAACTAAAGGATAAATTCATAAACAACCTCAAAAACCAGGGCTGGCGATAGAAAGGGTGTTGGTTCTATGAATTTAAAAAAGAAAAAAAAAAGAAAATGAATTTATGATTAATTACACCAATTTACCCTTTAGTTAGGTCCCGTATAATGTATTTAACTGCCAAAAGTGGAGAGAATGTGACACACAAGGGTCACATTGAACCAATTTGGGAAGTTATAGGGGTTAATTGAACAAAAATTTAGTTAAAGAGCTTAATCGAAAAAATATGAAACATTCTTTCTAATAATATTGATCAACATGAGATTCACAAAGGCAGTCCCTTGTACTAATAATCCAATCGTCTTTTCCTTCTCCCCATGGAACTTGGAAACCATTTTACAGTGACAAACTTGCTTTGGATGATACTTAAAAAGCAGAACAATTTCTTAAGGAAACCACGTATTGCCAGGTGGAACAGAATTAATAGCATTTTCCCTCAAAAGTCGTCTCAAGAATCTTAATTGAATATGAACTTTAGTGCAAACTTACTTAACATGGGATTGGAAAAAAGAAGCAATAAAACAGACAAGAGATTACCTTTCCCATGAATTATCTTCTCCCATACTCTTTGGAGGTTGAATTGCCACGACAAGTCCTTGGCAGGAATATCGAATGGAATGACGGTGGCACCAGAAGTAACTTTGTTGTATGTTGACATACTTGGGATGAAAATGGCTTTAGAGAAGTGAGTACCTGAGCAAGTTGACGAAAAATTCTCTACATGTCAGTGCTCCCATTAAGTGTCACAACAATGGAGAGACTATCCAGGACAAAACTTCAGAGAGAATAATGAAAATAAAAAATTAAAAAATCTGAGACTGTTCAAGCATTTCATGAATAGGACAGATCAGGGACACTTATCACATGCTATCTGGTTTTTCTAAACCAACATAAAGTTGGAAGTATGTGAGTGCCTTTTTACTATCCCTAGGGCTATACTTAAATGAGGCCATTTACTGGTACAACTTTATTTTTTCTCCTCTTTTCGGCCAAAGGCTAGAAGAATCCTTCAACCAATGACCGAGTCAGATGGATGTTACTTCAGGTTCTAGGAAACGTAAAGATGAGGATTGTGATAGTGAGAGAAGACGTTGTTCTATTCTCACATTAACAACAATATAACCCATATAGAGCAAAATGGAAAACAAGATTTGTGCAGCTGATGACAAATAGTTGTGTTATGTATGGCTTTGTAAAGTTTTTGAAAAGAGGCCAAAGGTACTTGAACATTCAGAGAGTTCCATGTATGTAGGAGGCAGATAGTTGTTTTTCCAAGGAAAAGAAGTTTTATACGAGAAGCAATACCTGAGGAAGCACATGTACTCACAAGCTGTGGAAGAAGAATTTGAGGATCTCTCACCTCCATGCAATTGAACAAAAGTATCTGCAAGGTATGAACATTGTACATGAAGTTCTATGCTAATGAACCACCTATATCACACTGATTGTTATGGATTGTACCCGCTTCGATATTTTGTCCGTTTCTTTCTCCTTTTCATGGTGGGCATAACCATTTTCCCATAGTTCCTCTGCATTCCCAACCTTAAAAGAAGAAGATTGCGACGATAGATTCCTGTTAACTTTCACAGCATTAGAGAACCATCTGCCACAAACCTCCATGCTCTCAGGACTATGAGCTCCATCCAAGTAAAATATTAAATCTCCAGAAGAGTTTTCCATCACTTCTGAAGGACTGTGAGACTTTAGGAAAGGATCATGAACAATTTGAGCCCTTCCAGAAAGATGAGCAGTTGAAAGGCCTCTCAGAAATGCCTCTGGCAAATTGTATTCCAGGCTATCCTGATTTGATAAACTGAGCAATTAATCATATATGCAACCAGAAAAACAGAACATAAAAAAGAATAAAAACACACTTTGTAGTACACCAACCAACTTCTAAATTTGTAATTTCAGGAACTCATTTTAGATAGCTCTCTCTCTCTCTCTCTCTAATTATCCATCCCACGATCCCACACAAGAAGTATTTGAACACTTTATAGTCCTCCTCAAACCCTCCCACCGTCACACACAAACACACACGACTGCAGGTACAAATATTTATCATTTCTATCAGTAAGATGACACTAATTCAACCACTTTCTGAGTATTTCTGCCAAACAATGAACTTAAGGTTTCTACAAGTTTAGAAACCTATTGAGACGATAATATGTACTCCTTCAGTCCCATTTTATGTGTCTTACTTGACTATGCACAAAGCTTAAAGAAGGCATCTTTGAATGATAAATTCACAAAAATATCCTTTTGCCTTTTTCGAATAAGGTTTTTTGAAATTGAGATTGTATTTAAACATAAATGTAAAGAAGGGTAATATGAGAAAGTGGTGTTCAAATTTTTTTTTTTTTAAAATTCTGAAACTAAGACACATAAAATGGGACCAATGGAGTAGTTTTTATGTAAATCACAGATAATAATTGTGCAAAGGTTCATGGAATTTTACTAACATTTTGGAATAGTTTTTCCCAGTTCCCTGTACTTTGAAGCCATTTTTTGCAAAGGGAGACAGCAAGACCAGCATTGATGAACTGGTGATCACCAGATAAGCTTAGCTTTAGGCCACCCAACATTTTAGGGTCAAGTGGTGCCACCTCTTCCAAAGGAACCTACAATTGGTAAGAATAGATCAACTGGCAATGCTGCTACATAATTAAAAAGACTTGTGTATTTATCCATGTGAATATATAAAATTTATAGGCATGCATATATTGATGCCATATAGGCTCATAGACTAGTTAAAAAAAAATCCATCACTTCCTAAAACATTAATTTGCTTTCGTGTTGTACCCATTATGATCTCCACTTAGCCCATCTCTAGATGGGATATGGATATAATATACATCGAAGATTGTAAATGTATGACCCAAATACAAATAAATTGATCTAGTATGATGCTCTAATCTTCAGATGTAATACATTTTTGGGGGGAAATTATACATCCCTGTAGATATATAAGAGGGATACATTTTGTTTTCTGTACATGTCATGTCTACAAGGTTATGTCCCCTTTTGTGGTGCTTTCTTTTTAATGAAATTTTATTGACAAAAGGGATAACATGTTCAAAATATAATCTGTCATAGACAATACAATAGGTACTAAGGAAGGTCAATTTACCATTTTCTCACGAGCCTTCTCATGAAGAACATCCATTGCTTCAGAAAGTTGTGGTACCGTGAACGCAGGAACTTGAGGCTTCAGGAGCAGGGAAGACATCAACCCAATTCAGAAAATACTTGAAAAATGAAAACTGCCATTCAGGATATTCGGAACAGAAATTTTGCGATAAATAATCCATTAACAAGGAAACCATATACATGCTTGTGCTTGCATGAGAGCTTTGTACCTTGAAAATTCCAGCTTTGTGGGAAGCAATCTTTCCAATGGTATCTCCTACATAATATTAATGTGAACTCCCAAGTTAAAACACACATATATCATTTCTTTTATATTTCTTACCAGTACAACTTTCACTAGCATAAGAGGAAAAACAATAAAGAAAAATATAAGAAAATGCACTGAAAAAAAATGTGAGATCAATAAATGCAAGCCAAATAAATAATAAAGCATTCCCTCAGAACATCATAAATATGCAAATGAAGCATTGAAAGAACATATAATATATATATATCAATGAGGGCAGAGAAAATTTGAGAAGGATGAAATGTTCATAAGTGGACGCACCCAATGTTTCCACGTGATCCAAACCCAAAGAAGTAATGCCACAGACAACAGGTTTCTCAATCTGCACAATTTACCACCAAATTCCATCACCATGAATGTCAAAGTCTTAATTTCTACACACCTTTCCAAGAAACCAAAGAGAAAACAATGGGCGTTTGTTGAATTGTATGCTATTCTAAAATAAGAATTATTATAGTTAATAATTCACATAACTTTGAAAGTCAATTAGTCCAGGTGAATCTAAAAGAAGATGCATTACCACATTTGTTGAGTCCCTACTCCCTCCAAGACCGACCTCAATAACAGCAACGTCTACCTGTGAACAGAAAACTACTTTCAGAAAGCACAGAACAGTGATATAAAGTATAACAAAACAAGTTGAGATCAAAGAGCCAATATTCTAGTCAAAGAAGAACCGATACTCTATAATTGTCATGGGTGCTAGAGAAGTAAAAAAAGAGTTCCATTACAGCAATGTAGTGTCAGTTAAGGGCCAAAGAATGTACAAGGATATGGGAGCAAAAAAGGCATTAGGTATTTTAAATGGCTAACGGTGGCATAGAAAATATGCAGAGACAGTACTGCGTCTTGGATTCCTCTTTCATCAGATAGGTGTTGAAACTCTTTTAAATGGAATTGTTTTTAGTTTAAATAGGTGTTGAAACTCTTTTAAATGGAATCACAAATTGATTTCATCCTAGTTTTTAGGTGGTAAATTTGAGTCATAAACAGGATTCTCTAAGGTAAAAACTGTTAAGGAAGCTGATACATTCCCACTGTAATTCAGCCTCTACATGACCCCATAAAACCTTATAGAAAGAGCTAAGGAAAAAATATTTGGCTGCATTGTTGTTACACATCAAGATTTATATCAGTTAGAAGGTCTTCTTCTTTGATTTTCCATGTGCATTTTCAAACAAAAATGTTAGATAACCAAATTGCAACTGCCTTTAACCAGTTAAGTCAAACTTCGTACAACTTTCAAATCTCCGTAGCAATTCAAAGTGAAAACTGACCTTTTCAGATATGAATATCTTAAATGCCAATACAGTAAGGAACTGGAAAAGTGGAGGCATTGGCAAGTCCTCTGTAACGCTTTCCTGCAAATTGAAATTCCCAGGATCAGGGCATGTTCACTACAAGACTGTTATGCTCAGGAGGGCACAACATGAAGAAGGATGCACCAAAATAGATCCAACTTCCAATACTCAGGCTGGAATCACTCAGCTTCCAAAAAACCTTCCAATTGGAAAATAAAGCAATCATAATAAATAATGTCTCTATTTTTCTGATTTTTGTCGTCTCAATTGGGAGGTGGAGTAAGTAGAGGCATTTTTTCAGTATGATTTCAGGTAGCTGTATTCAGGTGGGGCAGAGGATACTTTGGCCTTGAAAGAAGCTAGGAATGGTGGGGGCAACTTGATTTCCTTGGAAAGGTATGTGGCACCTGAGAGCTAAGTAGCACAGACACTCAACACAACACGACAAGGACACGCCAACATATCGATTTTCAAAAAAATGTAGGACACAACACAACACACTTGGGACACATTAAAATTTTGTATTTTTACAAATTTATTATGTAATATGAAAAATGTATTCAAAGATAATGAAAAATATGTAATATAAAACAAAACAAAACAAAAATTAAAAAATTATGTATTTCATGACAACATAAAAATATTTTTCACACTATAAAGAATGCAAAACAATTTATAGAACATTGTAATACACAATGTAAACATAAAAACAATGTATTCATCTCATAAATGTTTCAAAAGATATTTAGAGTGCATAAGTTGTGTTTTGAAGAATGCAAATTATTGGTATTATGAAAAGATTCATCACATAGGATGCATTCGGAGAGTCCATGAAAAGAAAATGAAGATGATAAGGTGTTATTAGTCACAGACAAGCACGGAATGTTACCTTCAATTGGTTCCAGCAATCCCAAAAATACATTAAAAATTTATCTTCAGATATATCCAATCTACACACAATTCAAAGATAGATATCAAAATAATATAATGGAAGGTAATAAAAGTCAACCAAGCAAAGGCACATCTTTTGTTAAAAAATTGATGTATTATTGATTGATGAATGTTATATTTATTACAATGATTCATGATTCCTATATATAGAAGAGGGTGAGTGTGTAGTAGGTAAGGAGTAGGTGAAGTGGAGGTGGTAGTGGTGTAGTGGGTTAGGTTTAGTGGAGTAGGTGAGGTGGTAGTGATGAAGTGGGTTAGGTTTAGTGGAGTAGGTTTAAGTGGGTGAAGTAGGTGATAGGTTTTAACATCTTTTTACAAGTCCATAATTATACACATCATAATTTGGTTGTGGTTCAGATCTGAAGTTTTAGGCTTCCGTATGCATCAAAGGGAAGATTCCTATTATTAATCCCTCCCCAAGAAGAGAATGCCTCCTTAGTACCCATTTAACAGAAATTTCAATGAACAACTTTTCAGTGGAATTCACTTGGAAATCAAATTCAGTTAACGTCTTTAACAATATAGCACACCCTTAAAGAGGAAACATGAGCCGCCTAGTTATAGAAGGTGATGCATTTGAACACTGACCCATTCAGACGGAATCTTTCTCTAACATCAATCAGGTGAGGAGAAGTAAAGAGTCCAGTTCTAAAACCGCACTCCCGTAAAATTGCCTCACAGAATGTGCATGTTGAACCCTGAAATACAAATTGCATTAGCAAAGTGGAAAGATATTAGACAAAAAATCCACTATGTTAAATCCCTGTAGACCATAATGTTGGGAAAAATTTTTTTTTTTTTGGTTTGAGAATTGAATGAAAATTGTCTCATACATAATACATTAGAGTTTACTCCTAAAGCAATAGCTTGTTGAGGAACCTACTCTGTTCCACTGTGAACAAAATAAAAAAATATAGTGATATTATAAAAGAAAAAAATTATTTCCATTTTTTCTATTACATCCCTAAACTATTAATTTATTTAATCCTTAACGTTTCTGATTTCTGTTCATGTGGTCCAATTTGAGATGATTGTACAAATCAGTAACTATCGAAGCCTAATTTGATAGGCAAAAGAATAATTTCATAATTTGGACAACTTAAATCAATACAACCGAAGATAATTTTCGTCAACCATATTTAATGACGGTTAAAAGTGAGAAAGTACCTTTCCTTTAGTGCCAGCAACATGGATAATGTTAAGGCCAGCCATCTGTTCCTCCAAGCCAAATATCTGAAAAGAAAATATGCATTCCTTTTGTCACCTTCCAAGCAATATGTCTTAGCAAAACGTCTAAATAGAAATAAATCAAATTCTGGTGACCAAGTAGAACGACCACAAAAATTTGACATGAAGGCTTATTTTCCACTACCATAACAAAGGAAAAGTTTTACTGGAAATGACACGAAACTATATTATCACCCCTTGATGAAACCCTAAGTAGAATAGGCAATCCAATGGATAAGTTCACGATGGCTATAGGAAATAAAAGGTCAGTCCCTAAGTTCATGACAGCTATAAACATCAACAGATCAGTTTAGGAACATAAAAATAAGACCATAATCAGATACTACTATCCCATATGTTGAAATAGCAGACCTTTAAACACCAAAAAAAAGGGGTCAAACACAAATGTGAAATTGAACCAAACTGATCTTTCTCTCAGGCACCCACCCACCCCTACACACACACACCAAAAAAAAAAGTGCATACAAATTCAGTAGAATGGTTTTGACAGCAAAATCAAACCAAACTGATCTCTCTCTCAGGTATTCATGGGTCCAAGTCAATATCCATATGGATTTGGTCCAAAAATTCAAGATCAAATTCTAATTCATGTCCACAATGCCAGTATTTCAGCTAAGACAAAAATCCAAATGGGGAAAATTTGAGGAAGATATGATACAAGATGCAGGTTCATTTATATTACACTTCAACAACAGCAAGAATAAAACAAACAAATGATGCTTTTCGTTGATGAAAGAAAGAAAACAGTCATATAAAGTGTTTATAATTATTGTAAGGGCCCTGACTGCTGCTAAATAGCATCATTTCAAAGGTAGAGATGGTATGTATCTTGTACTGGCCTGGTTTAGTTCTATGGCCTGAACAAATGAAGGTGTAGCTTTTACCTTCAAGACCATACACACAGCAAGTTGGCAATTCTGACGTATCTAAAAATATACATCTCTGAAATGTAAAAGTAACTCTGAATGCATTCTCTTCTCAACTGTATGTACTACCATAATAAGTTGGCAGATTTTGGAAGTTTTACCTTAATATACATCAACATTCTATTCAATTTCCCAGTTTTAGCCCCAACAACAGTTCTATTTCCACGTTTTTGGCCAGTAATGAGAGATGAAAGTGCTTCCATGGCAGTTTCATATGTAGATGAAAGAGGCAAGTCTTGTAAGTTTTCTTTGATGACCACATCGCTTCCCAGTTTTTCAATGATCTCAGATGACATCTTTGTGTTTCTAAAACCTGAACATTCAGCCAAAAGAAGTTGGGAAAATCAAGGTAAATGATTTGCATCAAAGGACCAATAAACTGTACATTATTGTGACAAACACTTTCTGCATTGACAGGGTTCTGGAGCCTCCTATCCATCCATGCAAACCCCTGGTACATCCATGTGGAAAACCCAATGCATCCCAAAACATGTAAGAAACAATCCCCACAAGTCTGAAGCCACCTCGCAATGTATAAGCAAATGGTCCACTAACTCATCATGCTTACACATGCTAGCATGATGAGGATTGCTTAGTTAGGCTTATAAGCACACAAGTGATGTATAATGTTAGCATGTTTCCTATTGAAGCATCAGTATTTTGATAAGCAGTGGACTTTACCACTAAGTTTGGGTATCCAACAGTTCCAAATGATTACTAGGCAACTCAACTCCACTTTTATCTGGGGTTTATTGAGAACACATGTACCCAGGACAATGACATTCAAAGGATTTTGGGTTTACTAAACTTTAAAAGTGCAGGACTTTCTTCTATTTATAGATGAGTACAAAGTTAGGAATTCATTCGACCTTAAGCACTAACTCGAATTTGCCTCACTTTTTTGAGAATACAACCTGAGCACCAAGCTTGATTTAAAGAGCTGCATATATTTCATGTCAGTGCCTATGGAATTTGTATTAAAAGATGTTGTGGATGCCAACAAGAAGAAAAGGGTTCAAGTTCCACAGACCAACAAAAATGACTCTGGCCTCCTTCTCACAATATATATTTTACAATAACATAACTTCTTCAAGTATTATACTATAAGTAATGAAATCTTCTCAATACCCCTAATCCCCTTGGTTATTAATGCATATTAAAGACCAATCATCAAAATGATAAAATAAGATTCAGGTATTAGAAAGTGCACATATTGATTAGGTGTACCTTTGTGTGTGCTATTTGTTTGAGAATGGAGCTTATCAAGTTTGGTTATATCCAGGGCATCTAGGCAAGCTGGCAAACATGAAACTGTCTGTGTTAATCTGTAGGCATATTGGCGTTCCCTCCGTTGGAAAGATGTAACGCCAAGTATTCCCTGCCTCAGATTAGTGTTTTTATGAATGAGCATTAGGTGACATCAATCCTGCAAGGCACAACAATTGTCAGTTAGCACTGAGAACTAAACGGAAATTGTACACAATGAGGATTACAAAAAAAAACTGATTTAACTGTGCAGAAATTAGGTGGAGGAATCTAAAATAAAAAAATATTGGACATGTGTCTATATTCTACAACTTATACCTTTTTTTACATAAGTTCTATAATTTGCACTAATTTTACATTACCACCTATAAGACCTAAATGTGAAAAAATAAAATGCCTATCAGAGATATCATGCCACTTGCATAAATGAGATGCTTCAAACAGGTCCATCAAATATAAAATTTGAGGTAACAAAAGTGTGCTGGATTTAACCAATCTGCTGATTCTAGATGCATATAAGTGCATTATCCACATCAGAATAACTTAATAAGAATAATGCAAAACAAACTTCACATGCCTAAATGTACTAACTAAAGACATTCCCAAACAATAAGATAAAATTAGGAGTTCATTCATCAATCCAATAAACAAGTTCCATCAGGCAGTGGTTTCTTTATCTTATATTTTTCTATAAAAAAAACATCCATAAAGGAGTACGACACAGAAAAAGTATTAAAAGTAAATCAACTAATAAAGTTTTAAATTGGGAATTGTGGGAGATACATATATTTTTTCTCCCAAGAATCTATCAGTTTTTCCTCTGATCCAAATTGCTTAAATATCATGGACCACATTCTGTTTCTTTCACTATTCCCACCAAGGTTTCCTCTTTTGGTTTTACTTTACTTACGCTTAAGGAACACATGATAGGCCACAAAGAGATCCCGCCATAGCAAATAGAAAGAGCATTAAAGCCCAATAAAGCTTAAAGCTGTTAAAAAACAACTTTTAATTCTATTTCTGCATAATTAGATTCATCAAGCATGCTTGTTCAATAAACTTCAAACATTCTATACATTAAGAGCACACCCCTCACCAATGTTCATCGGATGCAGAATTAAACAACCTTCACTAATAGGTTTTACTTTACTTACACTTAAGGAACACGTGATAGGCCACAAAGAGATCCCGCCCTAGCAAATAGAAAGAGCATTAAAGCCCAATAAAGCTTAAACCTGTTAAAAAACAACTTTTAATTCTATTTCTGCATAATTAGATTCATCAAGCATGCTTGTTCAATAAACTTCAAACATTCTATACATTAAGAGCACACCCCTCACCAATGTTCATCGGATGCAGAATTAAACAACCTTCACTAATACTGATCTGTCTGAATAGTTTCAATTCAACATCTTTCCATACAATAAATTTCCAAACAACTAGAAACAACATACCCACTTGTTAATTTCACATTGGCCTCTAAATTATCATTGAAAATGATTCCAAAAAAGAAAAAAGAAAAAAGAGACTTGAATATCATATTGATTGTGTGCTTGTACTGCTGTTCTCCCAAAACCATAAACTTCTAGTTATATGACACGACCTATATTAGTCTGAACGTACCCTCTGTTTGACTCTAGGAAAAAGAACATAAGGAAATGCAAGAAAATATCGTCTTGAACAATGTTTTTCCTTTTCTCTTGTCCTTTGAAAAATTACTGTTTGGTTGAATTTTCAGAAAAAAACTAGTTTGACAAAAATAACACCTAAAAAAAAGAAATTTTTAATATTTAAAAAATTATTTCCGTCCCCAAAAGCAGAAGAACATATGAAAATAATCATTTTTTTCACCAAACTAGTTTGTTTTTGAAAATTTTTCAGAAAACAAAATCCGAAAATTCAACCAAACAGAGAGAAACAAACAACAGTATCAACAACAGTCTTGAAACTCTCAAAGCATGAACTAAACAGCTTGCAGTGTATCAAAACAGTCATCAATCAAAATTATAAATAAAATAAAAAAAAACCATAAACAGATAGATCACAGTAAACATATATTCATTTCATGAAAGAAGGTATATGAATATGTGGACATCTATATATATATATGTAAGTAATAATGAAATTGGCATAGTGAGAGCCAAAATTTGAGTTAATAGATTTTGGGTACTTACTCTATCTATGGTTGCCTGCTAATGGGAAATGACCCAGATGCCATTACCCAGCTAATTAACTCTCTCTCTCTCTCTCCCCTCTATGCTTTTTGGGTCTATCCCCACTTTCCTGGAATTGACTTCTCTCTCTCTTTCTATGCTCTTTGGGTCTCTCTTTCGCTCTGTGTCTGTGTATCAATGTACTGGTTCTGGTGGATTCGTTTTTGCTTGCGGCTGTGATAACGGTTAATATGTGTCGTGTGGTGGCTGGCTAACCCACCAACCGTAACATAGTGTGCTAGGGTTTTCTGGGCCCCGGCTTCTTTTTTTTTTTTTTAATATAAATAATTTATTTTAATTTAATATTAATTTTAAAAATATTTAATTTTTGTTCAAAAGTTTATATTCAAATATGATGTGAATTGAGAAAAAATTGTGATATGCAAATAAAAATGGGCAAAAAATTAAAATTGAATCCAATTTTTTCTTTTTTTTATTGAAAAAATTATCGTTAAGTGCTACGTTTTAACAATATTATGGTTGAGCTATCAAATTTATAAGCATCTAAATCCTAATTTTGATAAATTATTCCAAACAACTAAGTAATGATATAATTTATTCCAAATTTACTGTTTTTTATTAAATATGAATTTACACTTATAATTTATTTAAATTAAGCAAATTTTAATAAACATTTGGATTACTTTCGGTTTGTTTGTTTGTGTGCGTCAATATCTCTACTCAAAAAAAATTAATTGCAAGGCTTTTTTTTTTTTTTTTTTGGGCGCTAAACTTCATAGATCAAAATCAATGAACAAAAGAAAAAATAAAAATAAAAACAAATATGTAGGGCATAAAAATTTACTAAGGGTCCTTTGAAGTAAATGTTTATTCAGCTGTTTGGTAGACTATACACATATGTTACCATCAACTGGGGCCTACTCTCTCACCAACAGCTGAAAAAACTTGTCCTACAGCTTCATGATGCAACATTTTAGCATAAAGAAAATTATTATTAAATTTTGAAAAAAAAAAAAGGAGATCAAAAAAAAAACCCAAAAATAGTTTCAAATTAGAATTAATGGCCAAAAGATTTACTCAAGGCTGGACCACACAGAACTTTTGAATTTGAATCACCTTAAAGA